TGAAATTAGAATTTGCAAAGTTGGAACGGATGACAATGTAGCCGATCCACTTACTAAACCTTTGCCTCAAGTGAAGCACAACAAGCACGTTGAGGCAATGGGAATCAGGCATGTAGGAGACTGGCTTTGATTTCCTTGTTTAGTGTTTTAGTTAAATTTTGAACATTTAATGTAAGACATTAAGAAAAATCATTCAAGTATTGGAGTAATATTAATTTCATGCAATATTTTATCACTCCGTTTGCTATTTAATTGTGGTTTAGGATTAAATAATGAGTCATTCGATTCTTGGAATATTCAAAATAGGGTATCAAGACCAGTCTTCGTAAGGAAACACCTATTAAGTGAACATTGAATATTATAATCGAAAATTATCCCTAATCAAGGTCATTTAAACAATGGACGATTAACGACCAATTGAGATTAGTGTGTAGTCTGATTTATAGCACCGTTTCTTGTGCTACGAGGACATGATTGTTATAAACCATTTGCACAGGTATTGGTTTAGAACCATACTGGATCGACCTATGAGAATACTTTAAGAGATTAAAAATCGTCATAAGTATACTTCTCATTATGGCTATCAGAACCTATTTCCTCGATCATGAGTATTGTGAGTTCTCTTGTTTGAGTACTAGTCCGCTTTGATGTTGTCAAACGTCTTCCGTAATAGGGGATTATAACGGCAACACTCGGGCGGCTAGGTCGTCTCAGTAAGAGGAGCTACATTACAAGACTGGGAATGTCCCCCTACTAAAATAGGGAAGATGTCTTTGTTGTATACAAGGCCTCTCGTAGAGCGAGACTGTAAAAACGCATGGCCGTGCTCGGATGGATTTTAGAAATCATCTATTTATTGACATTCGGACTTGGAATCGAGAAACACTTCTGAACGTAATAAGGATGACGAAATAATCTTACCTTATAGTTCATGAAGAGACATTAAGTGACATAGGAAAAAGGATGTACACTAAATGCGCACTTGTCCGGAAGGACAAGCGGGAGATTGAAAGGAATGGTGTCCTTTGAACAAGTGTACTATTCCGTTAGTGGGTTCAGAATTATTAGAAAGCTAATATATTCAGTAAGGTCAAGTGATCGGAATGCCTGGGTGGAGGCCGCTTCCGATCAGTAATATTAATGCATAATTAATATTACAGCTTAATCTTGACTGAACCCTTCGGGTCACACCCAAGCAACTAACGAACCAAAGCGACTAATTAATTATGAATTAATTAATAAGTCAACCGAGTAATTAATATTTAGACGTCGGGAATTCGAGCTTAGAGCGTCGAAACCGAACGTCGGAAGTTGAGTCGAAAAATAGTAAAAGACGAGACATGAAAATAATAAATCAACAAAGACCAAAATACTCTAGCATCAGGATGCCCCGAGTAAACCGAGTGCTAGGGGAATATGACCCAGCATGGTGGCTAGCATGCGCACCAAGCCGAGCCTAGGCTAGCTGGTGCGTGCTAACGCACCAATGCTAGCATTGCAAGGCCGGCCGCGCCAACCACAGCACTGCTGGGCCAAGGCACAAGGCTAGCAGTAGCTCTCAGCAGCAGCCTGCATCTTTGGTGCGTGGCTCGCTGGCTGAGAGCACGAGCAGCCTGCAAAAGCTGTTGGGCTTGCTGGCTGGCAGCGCTAGCAGCCCGCACGCTTGTGCTGGGCCTACTAGGCAGCCGCGCCTAGGCAGCCCACCTTGGGTGCCTTGGTGCCCAAGTGTGGGTGCCATATGGTACGATTTTAGAGGAGGTTGAAAGGCTGTGTTGGCTGGTTTTTGGAGAGGGAGTGGGGAGCAAGTTTGGTCCCCCCTCCTCCAAATGGTCCTCACCTAACCTCTCACATGAGCTTGACACTTGTTAATTTATTACTAGTTTGATTATTAATTTTATTTTAGTTTTAAAATAAAATGGAAAAATCAAATTCTCCCACATTGATGGGAGAGCTTTTCACTCTCTTATTTTCCCTATAAATACCCAAGTTGGGGTATTGGGAAAATCACTTGAGTGAGAGTTGAAAAAGGCACCACCATTGTGAAAACCTTTGAACTCATTAATCACTCGGGTTTTTGGTTGGGCCTTGCTAACTCCAAGGCATTGGACCATTTTCGGTGGTCGGATTGTGGGTGGACTATCGTAGGAGGTCGTCGTATTTTCGAGGCTTGCTTTCGAAGTAAGAGCTCGTTCTGTTTGGGCGAAGCACGCTCCAAAGGTAATTATCTTATCTTAATCTTGTGATTAATTTATGTTTTATGGTTTTATTAATTGCAAGTGGTTCTTTGGGTCGGTGTTGTTTCCGCGTTAAGTTGGACTTACCAAACCCCAACATCTAGAGATGTCATATTCAACGATGGAGCACAATGGCAATGGAACGAGAGCAGTCCAGAAGTTCAAGATCTAGAATGAAGTTCCTGCATTAGTCATTCCACCTTTAAGCCTTGATCAAGGCGAAGGCCCAAGTAACCCAAGATCAACACCAAGCAGCCCAAGATCACCAAAAAGAAGCCCAAGGTCACCCATCAAGCTCAATTTAACACCAGAATCAAGTCCAACACAAGAAGATCAACGATCACAACGACCCAGGCGTCCTCCTATGTACTTGGATATATATCAGTGTAATCATGTTATCATGGCCCTCATCGCCAGCGAACCTCAAGGCTTCCAAGAGACAACACAAGAAGAAAAATGGATTGACGCCATGAATGAAGAAATCAAGATGATCGAGAAGAACCACATATGGGAGCTTGTTGAAAGGCCTTGAGACAAAGAAATAATAGGCTTCAAATGGGTCTACAAGATCAAATTCAATGACGATGGCTCCATTCAAAAATACAAGGCTCGCCTAGTTTCAAAAGGCTATTCACAACAACTCGGAGTTGATTTCAACGAGACATATGCTCCAATTGTTCGAATGGAGACGATCAGGTCAGTCCTTGCACTCGTAGCTCAACTTTCATTACAAGTTATTCAATTAGATGTCAAATAAGCTTTTCTTAATGGCAAGCTAAAAAAAGAAGTATATGTTGAGTAACTTCAAGGATATGTAATCGAAGGCAAAGAGGAAAAGGTGTATCGCCTTCGAAAGGTCCTCTATGGGCTTAAGCAGGCTCCTCGTGCGTGGAACAACAATATTGATGGCTATCTTATTCAAAATGGGTTTATAAAAATCTCAAGTGAGCCATCACTCTACATCAAAACCCAAGGGCCACACGATTTTCTCATCTTGTGCCTTTATGTAGATGATCTTATCTACATGGGAACTAACTAAAAAATGATCGAAGATTTCAAGAAAGCAATGACGTCAAAATATGATATGACGGAACTTGGAGCTATAAAATACTTCCTTGGCATGCAAGTAAAGCAAAGTCCAGGAAGAATTTTTCTCTCATAAGAGAAATATGTTGAAGATATGCTCAAAATTTCAACATGAGCGATTGCGAGACAATGGCGACACCAATGGCTACGAATGAGAAATTCTCCAAATATGATGGAAAGGAGAAAGTAGATGAATCGCTCTTCGTAGCATGGTCAGATCTCTCATCTATCTCACAAACACAAGGCCCGACATAGTACATGCAGTCAGCATTGTCTCTAGGTTCATGAGTGAACTTAGCTAGACACATCTTGCAGCAGTAAAGAGGATTCTCGGGAATATCAAAGGGAAGAAGAGCCATGGAATAATGTATGAGTTCGAGATCGACTACAAGCTCACATGCTACACATACATCGACTGGGCTGGAAGCTTTGATGATCGAAGAAGTACGAGTGGATATGTGTTCTAGATAGGGTCGAAGTCCATCTCCTGGTCATCAAAGAAACAGGCAACGGGGGTACTATCATCATCAGAAGCAGACTACATATCGGATACAAGCGCAGCATGTGAAGCAGTCCGGCTAAGGAGAATTCTTCAAGATCTACGACAAGACACGGAAGATCCAACAACCATCCATTGTGACAATATGTCAGCTATTACCATGACAAAGGAATCTAGTTTTCCATAGTTGTACAAAGCATACTGAGATACGACACCACTTCATCCGAGAATTGGTCAAAAAATTAAGAGATCGAGCTACAATTCTGCAAGACAGGGGAGCAACTCGTAGATATATTCACCAAAGCACTTCAAACAGACAAATTCTTCCAATTTCGAAAACAACACGGAGTTCAAGATTTTTCAGATTAAAGGGGAGTGTTGAAAATACTAATCTAGAAAAATCTATGATAAAATATCCTAGAAATAATTAGAAAGCTAGCAAAAACAATAGCCAAGAAATATCTTGAAAGAATTAAAAAAGCGACATAGAGGTAGTATAAATATGTGTGTTGCATGCTCTCATTAGTAAAAAAAGCCATATAATACAAAAAGCCTTTTCCACAAAAAGTCATCAATCTCCTCTTAATTTTTCATACTAAGGGTTTGTTCTCATACGTTGAAATTCAGTTCAGTTCATTTCAGCTCCTAATTTCCTTCTCTTTTAAAATATTCATTCCAGTTCAGTTCAGCTCAGTTCAGCTCCTAATTTCCTTCTCTTATAAAATATTCAATTCAATTCAGTTCAGTTCAGCTGAATTCAGTCAATGAGAACAGGCCCTGACATCTTCAATATTCACATCTTTAATATTTATTAATTAACTAGAACCAATAACTTACTACTACTTCCGCTAAACAATTCTAACATTTATTTAGGATAAAGAGTTTCAATTAGAGTTGGGAATTATTATAAGGGTATTTTCATTTTTACCACCTTCAAATAATGACTTTGTCGAATTTACCACCTCCAAAAAAAAAAACATTTACTTTACCACCTCATAAAAAAATTAAACATCAGTTTTACCACCTCATCTGAGCTCAGGTGACGGAAAACGCTTGTGGGGCCCAGCATAACGGCTAGTTTTTGATTTTTTCCCAAATTTCTCTCGATTTCCCTTTTATTTAAACCTAGATCTTCATTTGTACACCAAATTCTTGCAGATTGGAAATTAATTTTTGCGATTTTCTTCACAAATCAGTGTTTTTGGGCAACCTTAACAATCCCAAACCCTCTAATTATCAAACAATCAATTGAACTCCTCGACAACAAGCATCAAAAAGGTAAGCCATTGTCGTTCATTCTCTAGCAATTTTCGTGATTTCTGTTGTAATTTTTTGGCAATTCGTTGCATGATTATGTTGCATTTGCTAAGAGTAATTGAAATTGGGCGTTTTGTGAGGTCAATTAAACCCCAATTTGAATTAAAATACTTAGGGTTCATGTAAGATTAAATTAGATTGGGGGTTTTTGTTATGTGAATTGGCTACTGAAATTAGGGTTATATTATGGTGATTGTGTTCAAATACAATTAATTTCATTCTTTTTCTTACTGAATTTCAGAAGGGAATGTCTTCAGTTAGCATGTCACCCTCAAAGGAGAAAAAATGCCAATGTGGAGTTCCAATGTCTAGGCTGACTGCTTGGACTAAGGAGAACCCAGGACGCAAGTTTAGGACCTGCAAATTCTATGATCCTGTGACTGAGTCAAGGGGGTGTAAAGCTTTTGAGTGGGTGGATCAACCAGATGGAACACCTTGGCAAACAGAGGTGATTAACAACTTGCTGCTGGACAAGAAACTAATGAAGGGAGAGCTGAATGACATGAAGAGGGAAGTTGATGATGTTAGTGGACAAAGGAGGTGCTTGCTCAATGAGATTGACAGCTTGAAGATGAAATGCAAAGCTCTTAGCTCAGACAGGAAGAAGATGATCAAGGAAGTGCATGGCAGCAATGCAACAACAAAGAAAATGCTCACAGTACATGCTATTGTTGTGTTTTGTTGTTTTGGTTTGGTACTGGCTATGTATTTTAGATCTTAGGTTCATTTAGGAATGCTTAGAAACAAAAAAAATCCCCAACTTATGTTGTGTTTTGTTGAATTATTATGTGTGGATGTTGGGATGACATTTCTTGTACTACTTTTAACAAAATCAATGAGAAATGGAACTTTTTGGTAGAAACATATCACAATTAGTATTAGTACTTGCAACACAATGTTTGAAATTGTTTTACATTGGCTGAGACAAAAGTTAAGGCACCTTTGTGCAAAATCATTGTTCAACTATCATTGTTCAACTACCAAATAAACTTGGTTGTCTATTACAAAATACTAATGAGTAGACCTAGGGTCACAGTTGATTGAGATCCTTGTCCTTCTTGCTTGTCATTACATGAAGCTTGGACCTGGTCTGTATTTTGACTTTGGGAGGAGTAGTTGTTGGCACTCTTGTGGGCTGACTCAGGCTCCTGTTGCTCCTGGTAACAGGTTGAGTTGGCAAAGGCTCTGTTCTTGTTGCAGGCTGGCTTGACACAGCAGTTGCAGGTGCAGCATTACTTGACCCAGCCTGTGCTGTTGTTGGAGGCTGATATTGTGGCAACTTCAGTGCAGCCTGCAATCACAGTATGACAAGACTCAGAAACAAAGCCACTAAATACACTCAAGTCACAAAATACACAAAATACCTATCTTGCTGCTTTCTCTTCACTTTTCTTTCTCTGTTCCTTAAGCCAAGGAGTCTGCATTTGTGGCCTTGGAGTATGTAATTTTGATCCCCAAGTCATTCAAGGCCCTGTCCTGAATCTGTTTAATCTTCCATCTGGGGTTGCCCCTGAACTCCTCCAAGTACCTGTCAGCAAGGAACTCTGCTGTCACCTTGTTGTTCATTTTACTCCTAACACACCTATGCTTCAGCCTTAGTGTCTTAATTTTCCAAGCCTCTGATTTCACAAGCCTTGTTGCATAAAACTTGAACCTACACCTAACACCCTTACTACATGTACACTTCACTATCCTACAACTGTTCTTGTTATACACACACTTGCATTTCCTTTTGCAATATGCTGTTAGCCTCTTTAAATCATTGTGAAGAAGGTAATACTCATACCTATTTTCAATTGCATGTTGTCTCAAAGCTTTTCTCATTGTTTGCACATCACTGAACCTTTGACCAACTACAAATTTGATAGCCCTTTCAAAGTCTGTCTCAGGGTTAAACCAAGTAACACTACCCTGATCATCATCTGAATCACCTTCCACACTCTTTAGCTCATCAGAATCACAAGTTGCCTCCTCTTCAACCCTCACTTCAATTTTCTGTAGATTTCTTTCTATGTCAAACCCTGTGTCCTCATCATCACTTTGATCCCCTCCTTCAGTAACTCCCCTCAAACTTCCTTTCACCTCACTGTTAATATGGTCTACATTTTTCTTCAACCACTGTTCATCATCATCAGAGTATAAGTCCTCCTCTCCCTCATCAACTTCTAACTCAAAATCACTCAACTCAGAATCAGAAGACTCTGTATCACCATCCTCATCACTAAACACATCACTGTCATCCCTTAAGCTCCTCACTCTTTCTTTTATTTTTCTCACTAAATTAGCAAAATTTCCAGTCTCATCCCCAACCTTAGCCTTACCCTTATCTGCAGCAGTGAGTTTACCCTTCCCTTTATGTGTATTAGCATTCACTTCCTCTGCCCTAGGAAGCCTCTCCTCAGCCTCTCTGTCATGTATAACAATGCCTTTTAACCTAGGGCTTCTCCTAAATGGCTCTTCTTCAGTGGGCTTACTAAGTTCTGGGCTGGGTTTGTATACTTTAGGCCCACCAAACCTCTTTTTCAGTTCCTTCCTTTGTGCAGGGGTTAGCTCATTCCCAGATATACATTTGAAGGGTGTTTTGTTAGTCCCTTCAATTGGCTCATGACTGGTAACATACATCTCACATGCCCCCTCTTTGTTCACCGACTCTAGGAAACCATTCACCTCACCATCAACAAGCTCCCTTTTACCATTCACCCAAGACTTGCCCTTTTGTTTATACCAGCAACTAAACCCCCTAGGAACCTTCACATTCACATACACAAACCCATGTATAGCTGCTTGCCTCAAAAAGTGTACATCTATCTTATTTTTTTCCACCTTTCTCATCCAATAAACCCACCCACCATCCCAAGTTAACACCCTCCTATTTTTACCAGCTAAAGAAGGTATAAAGGCACCCCCTACTGTAATTTTTAAGTCCACTGTGTCCATTCTGTAACAACACCAACAAAAGCACACACAACAATAATCAATTTCAGTAATTACAGTAAACAACAAAAACCAATTCACCAATTACAGCAAGTAAAAGCAATTCACATTGACTATGCACTAAATTAACAGTAACCAAGTAAATCTAATTAACTAATTATTTAACAAATGCACACTCTAATTCAGTCAAAGATTCGCATAATTAGGGTTTATAATACTTTAATTCACAGATTCCCCAAAAAGGCATACTTTACCCCAATTGACAACCATAAATCCAACGAAATGTACTAATAAAGGGTTTAAAGTACCTCTTGTAGTCAGGAATCTCGATTTCTGTCAGCAAATTACCAAGCTTTTGGTCCCCTCACCCTGTGGAAGATGACAAGAGAAGATGATGTGTTGCAATTTTGTGGTTCCAGCTCGATTTCAACCACCCAAATTGATCTAGGGTTTCAGTTTTTACAGAGAGAAAGAGAAAATTCAAAGGAGAGAGAAGCAGTTACAGTGAGAATCAAGAAAAATCAAAGGAAAGAGAGACGAAAATTGATGAGGAAGTGAGAAATTTGGTGAGACATTGATTATGGAAGGTGGAAGGTGAGAAAAGGAGGAGACAGAGGGAAATCGATTTTAAAAGAATTAAATTGGAGGGAAGTGACAGTTAACTGGGCCCCACAAGCGTTTTCCGTCACCTGAGCTCAGATGAGGTGGTAAAACTGATGTTTAATTTTTTTATGAGGTGGTAAAGTAAATGTTTTTTTTTTGGAGGTGGTAAATTCGACAAAGTCATTATTTGAAGGTGGTAAAAATGAAAATACCCTTATTATAATAAGAAGAAATCCATAAAGCATTTTAGAGTAGGCAAGTACTGAGATTAGTGAGATATAAAAATTCAGTTTATCATATCCAAACATCAAGAATACATCTAAGAGTAATGCAGCAAGGGCTAAAGAAAATGAGAAACTTTACATTTCATTGAAAAAATGAAAATAGATAAAGAGCACAAAATGACAATTGAGTAACATCGAAAAAATAAGATAGAAAGATGGGCAAACTGAAATTCAACCCTGACTTCCCATTCATAATTCATTCAGATTCTTCGCGTCCAAGATAATTCATCTAACTAGGAAGTATTTGTTAAGATAATAATTGGGAAATATTGTATAATATCTTTAGGTTCCTAGTTATGTTAATATTCTATCTTATTCCTAATTATGTTAGGGTTAGGAATATCTTTGTACCTATATATATATCTTCATATGTGAATGAGAAAGTTAAGTCGTTCAATCATATTCTCTCCATATTTTAACATGGTATCAAGAGCTTAGGTGAGAAAAAAAAAATAATAATAAATTAAACGTGAGGAAATACAGAGGGCCGTGAGAGATGACAAAGAATGAGAATGAGAATCAATCTCCACCACCACCACCGATTGACCTTGATTATTATCTAGGATCAAGTGATCATCCGGGTGTGGTTATCACCCATGTGAAATTGAAAGGACCAAATTATGATGAATGGGCTAAAGCGGTTCGGCGTTCGTTAATCGCGAAGTTCAAGTATGGATTCATTGATGGCACCATATTAGAGTCGGCTTATGTAGTGAAGCAGAAGCATTGGATAGCTGTGAACTCCATGCTCGTTTTGTGGATTACGAACACACTAGAGGATGGCATACGTTCCCAAATTGAGGACTTTGACATTGCTAGTGAATTGTGGAAGCACCTAAAGCAACGTTATTATGTGGTGAGTGGGACTCGTATTTGTCAGTTGAAACAGTCACTAGGCTTCTTCTGAGTCTGTGACCGATTATTTCGGTCGACTTTCAAAAATTTGGAAAGAACTAGTTCAATACTGCCGTGTTCCGCAATGTACTTGTGGGTTATGTAAGTGTAACATTGCAAAGCAGGTTACAGAGATTCGTGAGGAGGATTATCTCCACTATTTTTTGATGGGACTTGATGATCCCTATGAAGCAATTCGTGCTCAATTATTAGCACAATCACCATTACCTCTAGTTGACAATTCATATCAAACGGTGATCAACACCGAGAGATTGCGGGCTCGGGATGTGAAACCAAAAGAAAACGTGATGGCGTTTAAAGTGGAGTCTCGTACCAAAGACGAATCGGGGGATGGTGATCGGCCTTTTTGTACTCATTGTAACCGTATGAGGCATTGGAAGAAGGGGTGATCATTGGTTTCCCGGAAGGATGGGATGAGAATCAGAAAGAAGGACGAGGACGTGGTCGAGGCGGCTCTAGCACTCGTGGAGGAAGAGGTGGCTATGGTTGTGGCAATGCTTCGTCGAGTGGGTCTCCTGCTACTGCTCGTGCAAATGCAGTACAAGGGGGGACAAATTCCAATTCCAGAAATTCATCCTCACAAACAAGTCCTACTCAAGGTCTCGTAGGTGTTTCAACAGAACAAGCACAACAAATCATTGATATTCTTAAGCCACGGTTGGAAGGTAATACAAATGTATTATGGATTGTGGATACAGGGGCCTTTAATTATGTCACTAATGACATATCACTCATGAGAAATGTCAAGACAATACAGAATTGTCCGGTTGGTTTGCCGGATGGTCAAACGGTGAACGCGAATCAATTGGGTTAGGTCACTTTGGATGGCGGTTTGGTGATTGATAATGTTTTATTTGTGTCTAATTTGAATTGTAATCTGATTTCTGTTACTCAACTCAGTGATGAGTCGCAAATGTACAATTCAATTCATTAACAAAATTTGTGTTATTCAGACCAGTTGACGAGGACGGTGATTGGCGTGGGTGAAAGACAAGATGGACTTTATTTTTTCCGAGGTGTGCCGCAAGTGAAGGTGCTAGAAGTGGATTGTGTGGTGGATCTTTGGCATCAACGTATGGGTCATGCATCGGAAAAAGTTTTGAAGTTACTTCCCCCTGTGAGTAACTTAGTTAGGAAAAATAAAAATGTTTGTGATGTATGCCCACGTGCAAAACAAACTAGGGATAGTTTTCCTATTAGTGAGAACAATGCTAGTAATTTGTTTGAGTTAGTTCATATTGATTTGTGGGGTCCATATAAAGTTCCTTT